ATATAATTAAACAAAATAAATTCAAAATGAAATCTTTAATCCTTCAAACGTTCGAAGGTTCTTCATATCTTCAAATCTTCGTTCTTGAGATCGTCGAATCTTCGAATCTTCGTTCGTCGGATCTTCGAATCTTTTTGAATTAAGAATTCAACTTGAAGGGCCTCCGGTTTTCAAGTGGCTTGATCTTCAACAAAAGGGCCGTTTTATGGCTTGATCTTTTGTTTAAGGGCCTCCCGGGGTATATGGCTTGATCTTCAATTGAATTTCAATTCAATCTTCATATGAGTATCTTCAAATCTTCAAAGATTCGTTCTTCATATCTTCGAATCTTCAAAGTCTTGTTCTTCAGATCTTCGATTCTTCAAGCTTCGTTCTTCAGTTCTTTGAACGTTCTTCAACTTTTGGATTTATTTTATTAAGAATCGACGAAATCATGAAAGATTATTCGTATATTCTTAATAAAATTCGTGGCTTGATCTATTCCTCTTCTTCGGAATCGTTCAGCGCCTTTCGGGAGTTCTTGAGAGCTTTTCTGCAGCGTTTCTTCGTCTGAAAATTCTCTACCCCCCATTCCTCTCAACTGAGACCCCTATTTATATGTGTGGTGGGGATAAAATATGACTTAGGGTTGCATGAAATTCGTTCATATGCTCAGGGTCTCAAAGAAAATGGGCTTTGGGCTCTATTTGCTTGCATTTGATAGCTAGAAAAATCAGCACTTGTTTGATGTATATGGACAGCTTTTTTAACAAGGTTCGCAGCCATTTTCCATGCATACGGATGAATTTCTTAACCATATTCATTGCTATCTTATCAATTGGATCGTGTCTCTTACTGATTGGGCTACTATTTAATAATGGGCTCAAAATAGAGAAATTAATAAGACCGATCTATTCTTTTAAAGATTTAATTTATAATTAAATTAATTGGATATTTAAATGACCCAAATTAACTCAATTATTAAATTTTATCCGAATGGGTCCACATTAATATTTTTATAAAATCCAACAACCATCACGAGCGGCCCAACATAATCCGACAATGGCCCACTAGCAAATAATATAGCCCGGTACCTTTTAAGAGCTCAATTGCTACCATAGTTCGCCCAATAATTTTATATGTCCGCAAGAAGCTTTGCTGGTTTCCTTCCTACGACCTTCGCTGCCGCCACAGAACCTTTTCCGGTTTCCTTCATTCTACTTACACTACCGCCGGAGAAGCTTTGCCCGAATTGAGAATCGCCGTTGACCTAGAGGTTGGCACGAGCAACCTGCAACCGATTGGCATGCCGGATTGGAGTCTCCGACTCGTGGCTCGCATAGGAATAATGACCAGAAGCCTTGTTTCCTCCGTCCATAGGATTCCGATCTGGATTTGTGCCGGCCGGCGTGGTGGTGAAGGAAAAGAGACAAAACGGCTATGTTCAAAAAGCTCCAGCTGTTCAAAGAATCGACAAGTTTTGTTTCAGATTTGGTGAGGAAAAGAAGAGGAGGTGTCTGGTGGACCTGGTGGTTGTACGCAGGGAGAAGGTCGGAAGGAAAGAGGTAACGCTGAAGGAGAAAGGAAGGGAAAGGAAAGGAAAGGAAAAGGGGAAAAGGAAAAGGGGAAAAAGAAAAAAGGAAAATAAAGGAAAAAAGGGCGGAAATGAAAGGAAAGGAAAAGGGGAAAAAGAAAAAAGGAAAAGAAAGGAAAAAGGATTGGAAATGAGGTGGATGCGACATGTGTGTTTGTCAGGTCACGTGTGCGCCACGTCAGCAAGTAATCTTTTGACCGATGAGTTACCTGCTAAATGTCGGATTTGATGAATATTTCAAAGAAGGAGGTCATAATTAAAGAAAGTTAAAGTACGGGAGGAGAATTGAATTTCCATACAAAGTAGAAGGACCAATTTGACACTTTTCTATTTCTATTTTCTATTTGTATTTCTACTTCTACTTCCATTTCCATTTCCATTTCTTTTTCTATTTCTATTTTTATTTCTATTTCTATTTTTTTACATTTGTATTTACTTTTACATTTATATGTACTAAAATTATTTTAACCCTACGAAATAGAATCCATTTCGAGAAGTAGGTTTCCCCAAACTTGTCAAAATCTGTTTCCAAAAGTAATTAGAAAGACTTAGATGTACTTTTGTATTTTTATCTAAACACTCAAATATTTGTCATGCTTTTGAACAAGAAAAAGTAATCGTAAAGAATTAGATTGAAACAATGTATACATGATTCATTATAACAACATTTTTATCATCTTTTGACTCCAAATAGATTTATACTTTATTCTCCAGCAATTTATTTGTTCGTTTATGTTCCTTCCATCCCTCATATTTTGTCATCTTTCTTTTTTGGTTTTATAAAAAACTTTGCCTCGTTTTCTTTAAGGCCATGTTTGGTTCAAAGGAGGGGAGGGAAGGGGAGAGTCAAGGAGGGAAGGGGAGAGTCAAGGAGGGAAGGGGAAGGAAGGATTTTGATAAAAATTTGTGTTTGGTTGGAGGAAATAGGAGGAAAGATTTAATGAAAATATTTTCACAATTTACTTTTATTTGATAGCTAACTTAAAAAAATAGATACACGTCTAACTAATGTGAATATTACTCCTATGGTCATGAGTCATAACTTTAATTTATTTGATTTTTTACTTTTTTAATTTTATAATTTTTCATTTTTCAATTTGGAATTTTTGATTTTTTATTTTTATTTTTAAATTTTTTTATTTTTAATTTTTAAAATTTTTATATTTTAATTTTTGAATTTTTTAATTTTTAAAATTTTTAATTTTTTAATTTTTAAATTTTTTAATCTTTAAATTTTTAAATTTTTAATTTTTTCAATTTTTCAAAACTTTTTATTTTGTTTTACCTTTTTATATTATAACATTTTGTTCATTCACGTAGGAGATGGATAGTTTGTTGTTATCAACACGTTTCCTCCGAAATACCACGATTTGGGGGGTTTAGAATGGGAGGAAGTGGAGAATTTTGAAAGTCTTCCACTTTCCTTCCCTTCCCCCCTCTATTTTCTTCAACCAAACACACAAGAATCTCCCACTTTCCTCCCCTCCCCTCCAAAACCCTCCAACCAAACATGGTCTTAAAGAATTAATTTGTGGTTTCTGTTATTTAACTATACAAATCTCAACCATATTTTTTTACTTTATTATTCCACATGACAGTTAAACCTGACAAATTATAAGAGATGGAGGAAGTATAAAGAAATATTTCTTTTATCATAGTATTTATTAAAAGTAGTAAACCAAATACTCGTAGAATTTTACAATACTCTCCCCGTATTGAAATGTTTGTTAAACTTTCCTTTTTGAGATATATTTTCCCTTTAAAAATACTAGTTTACTCTTAGTTTTTTCTACCCTTTATCTTATCTTTCATATTTTTTTCACCATACCTCATACTTTTTATACATTATCACTACCCCACTATTTTTCTATTAAATATTGTGTCAAACCTTATTGTAGCAAACATTTCAATACAAAGGGAATCATGGTCGTTTCTTGCTCAATGCTAAGGAGGCTTGAGACCCGGGGCTCCAAAAAACTAAAAATATTAGGGGCCAAAATTTTTATACATCCTTGCATTATACTCCGTACATAATTAAGAGAAAGATCATGTTAGGTCGACCTAAAATGACAAATTGTGCTCTTCTGTAGAATTCTTTGATGAAATTTTGAACATGTTCTTTATTAAGTATAGATTATTTTCACAAAATTTCAACTTAAAACTCCATCAGTAATTTAGTTAAAATAAATTATTGAAAAACATTGCATTATATATATATATATATAAGTAGTGTTCTTCAATATTTTTTTTAACTAACTTTCCAATTGAACTTTAAGATGAAACTTTATGGACATATTTATACTTCATAAAAAATATGGTCGCAAGCTTTCATAAAAAGTTCCACTGGGAAGCGTCTCAAATGGCCGCTGCCGCACAATGGATCATTTTATGCCGGCCTCATAGGATCATTCTCTTATGCTTGAGATCAATTCGGTTCTGATTAAAATTTGGTAGAACCGTTTTAAAAATTGAACTTGCTAAATTTGGCTCGTTTGGGTTCAGCTATAGTAAAAAATATAGTTGTTAAATTCAATTCGGTTATATGTCTTTAATATGTTTTTCTCTACAATGTCAAGAAAAATGTCTAAATATAGACATTTTTCAAAACATTTACCAAAGTTATAAAAAAGTGAGGAAGTGAGAAATGTGATTGAATTATTTTCAAAGAAAATTTAGTCATTTACCTAAATAGGATCAAAACATGCCTAAAATTCACAATAGGATTATCATACTTTAAATTCCCTACATAGGACTAATCATGTGTGTTTGAAAAATATACTCTTGTAGTTTTTGGGACTAAAATACATAGTTAATATAAGTATTAAAAATAAAAAATAGAAAAATAAGAATTATACATTAAAAAAAACCATAAAAAAAAATACGCAGGCTTTTGCCGCCGCCTCTACCATCCCTGTAACCGGGAATAAAGGTCAACATGCATTAGTAATGTCATATTGATGGCACTTCGGTGAAAATTTGACATTATCAAGAGTAATAATGATAATTTCTTGGAATTTTCAGAAAAATGACATTTTTTTTACACAAAATGCTTTTTTCACCGATTGGAGGTGATGGTGCTGGGAGGTGATAGAGGCGCTGGAAAAGGCATCCATATATTTTATATTTTTTATGTGTTTTTACTAGTTTTTATTAATTTTTAAAATTTAATTTAATTTAATTTAATAAATTTTAAGTTTTTACGTTTTTTATTCTTTTTAACGATTTTATTATGAATTAAAATATTTTATTTTGAATTAAAACATTATGAATCAATACCCTCAGAGGTATTTAGAGTAGAAAATTAATGTTTAATTTTATTTATGATGGATTTAGAATTTTATCCTATTTATACAATTAAGTTTCCATTTAATCATATTTAAGGCAATTAGAGAAAAGTTGATTGAATTATTTTTTACGTGCAAATTAGAAATGCCAGTTGTCAAAGGGAAGTCTTTTTTTTAGAATGGCGCTGTCCACAGCGGTGAATCCAAACCCCTCTGCGCATACACTGCTGCTTCTCTGCTCACTGTCGTCTTCTTCGCTGATGAGGTATACTCTATCGGGCCTTTCCACGAACAGGTCGTACAAACATACATAATACGTGCATTTATACTAATGTATTTTCTCAACTAATGGATATACACAGCTAGACAGAGAGAGCGAGAGTTGCAGAGAGCGAGCTCGTGTGCTAGAGAGAGGAAACATGGAGGAAGAGCGCTACGAGGAGGAAGTGCTCGGCTCAAGCTATACGATGGAGAAAGTCGCCGCCGCCAAGCAATTCATAGAGAATCACTACAAGAATCAGATGAAGAGCATACAGGAACGCAAAGAAAGGTGAGGCTCTGCTTGGGCATTCGAGGATGCATTCAACTTTCTCAATTAGCTCGGTTCTTACTCATGCCCGTTTTTTCCAGATCTAGAGTGTAGTAATAACTCTGCTTTGATGGCTTATTTGTTTTTTCTGTTAATTCGGGAGTTAATGCAAAACAGGTCAGGTTTATGGGTAGTTCGATATTCTAAATGGTTGTAATTATCCGAAATGGATGAAGCGGACGAAAGAAGACACACGTGAAACTAAACCCCAAGGTTCACCATATAAATTCCTTTTCCCGGTGTGGTGGTTGTCTGTTGGTGATTTGAGCGGGCGTTTAGTTACAGTTTCCCCTTTCAATTTTAGATCCCAATCTCCATTTTTTTTTATCATCATAACGGGATTTCTGTCAAAACTTGAAAGGGAAAGACGTGCCCCTTATACACCCTTGTGAGGTGTGACCCTTACCCGGACACTCGCTTGTGGGATGCCTTCGTGCACCGGGCTGCCCTTTTTATAATGGAATTTGTATTTATTTATTTTAGCTTTTCCACTCTCCAACAATTTTCAAGCTTGCCCGTTTATGGTCAAACTAGCATATACGTTCAAATTCAACTATGTAGTATTTTTCAACTTATGAGGTGCAATGTTCTTTATTTTTTATTTGTTTATCTCCACAAAAACAGCAACACATGTGTTAATTGGCAATACTATATTGCTAGTATATTAGTATTGAGTAATGTTGGCATTAGGGAGGGGTGTTAAATAGGGGTGAGTGTAGAGAAGTAAGGGTATTGGCAGTAATGATAGTAAATACTAATAAAGGTTGTGGTGGTAACATTTATGTGGGTGAGGGTGGAGTTCATAGGAGGGGTCAGGGCACGTAGGAACTTAGTTGTGTGTAGAAGAGAGCAAAGAAGTTAGTGGAAGTAGTACCATAGTGGTGACAATGATAGTAAGTAGGTAGTCAGGTACACACACAAGCATTAAGTAGGCCATTTACTGTAGTGTAGGACTGTAGGCAGGGTGGGATTCCGGTGGTAATGGTGATGATATGTGAAATAATGTTTCTCTATTAAGCGCAGATACAACTAGGTGGTTGGACATGCAGGGGAAACAGGGACATGTACTTTGCACTCCTAAAATGTGTCCCTATTTTTGCTTAGTAAAATAGGTACACAACTTCAGGATACGAAAAAGGTGTTTAGGAATGGGGTCTTTTTATAGCAACTCAAAAGTATTGTATTGAAGTGTTAAAAAACAAATTTCTAGATCTCTCTCTTCCTTATTTCGCATCTACCAATCTTTTATTTCAATAAAAATGTCCTTTTCCGCAGCGGGGTACCCATGCCTCATAGGTTTCATTGTATTTTAACCGTTATGAAAACATTTAGCACGTGTTCTTCAAATTGTTTTGCTAAGTTTGAAGAGAGATCGGTTGATTTTAAATTTGGAAAACATCGATTGACTTTAACCAGTGCCCTTTGTTCCATTTTTTTTAAATTTGGAAAATATTGATCAATATTAAAATACTACATTTGCAATGAGACATCAATGTAACCTATCTCAACTCCTCGCCTGCTCCTGGTATTTTAAATGCAAGTGAAAGTACTTATGGCTATCGCAAATTTGGAATTTAATTTCATTATGCACCCAACATTAAACTTTGATACAATTCTCTTTTGCATTGATCTATGATGTGACTGAATTTAGAAAATTAATGAGTTTTTGCCACTTTTAGTCCTTCGAATATTATATCACTGACACTTTTGGTACTCGACTTTGAGTTTTTCCACTTTTAGTCCTTCAACTATTGTGCAAAAGGCACTTTTGGTATCCATCTTTGAAAATTTCCACATTTTGGTCCTTCAACTATACATTTTTAGTCCTCCACTTATTGTGTCAAAATCATAGTAGAAAGACTAAAAGTGTCAATTTGATAATACTGAAGTCGAAGACTAAAAGTGTCTCTCGCACAATAGTAGGACTAAAAATGGAAAAATTGAAAGTTGAGTATCAAAAGTGCCTCTAACACAATAGTCAAGGGACTCAAAATGGAAAAAACTCGACAATTAATTGACACTATAAGTTTCATGCTACCTACTCCAAGGTCCCCAATTTAATTAGGATTAAGGGGATCTACTGCTTAGGATTTGATTTTAAAAGAAAGTTCTTTACATAGGTATGAGGATTCATTTTCAACTGTTGAGATGCCTTCTTTCTTTACGGAAACATCGATTGTCTTTCTTTTTGGTTATAGAGCTATATTTATTGGTAATATTACCTAGATTTGAAACTTGGAAGTCTTTTAGTATCAATAAAATTAACAACTTTATATTCTGTTACCACTAGAGGGAATGTGCTTTGATATGAAACTTACATTCTACTTCTATGTTCTTTACTATTATTTCACTTGATATTGATATTTTCCATTACGTAAAGGCGGTGGATACTAGAGAGAAAACTAGCTACTTCTGATGTTCCCAAAGAAGAACAACTAAATCTGATCAAGGATCTAGAACGAAAAGAAACTGAGTACATGAGGCTGAGGAGGCACAAGATATGCGTTGATGACTTTGAGCTTCTAACAATTATTGGTAGAGGAGCCTTTGGTGAGGTTCGTGATTTATCACTTTGGTGTCAGATATTGTATGTGACTTTTGGTCATGATTAATATGCAATTTCTAGCTTACATTGCTTTAATTGCTTTTTGAGTAAATTTGCATTTAACTTTACTTCGGGAACTTTGGCCTTGATAATTATGAACAGTTGTGAAGTAATGTTGAGGTGTTTATTAAGTACATGTATGCCGTTTGATTTTGCTTCCTATAAATTTTAATTGCAGGTCAGGTTATGTAAAGAAAAGAAATCCGGGAATATTTATGCCATGAAGAAGTTGAAGAAATCTGAAATGCTCACAAGAGGACAGGTGAAAGGAGTTTCTACCTGTCAAAGGATTTGTGTGTTTACTTCCTTTATTGATTTGGATGGGTTTCTTTTACAGGTGGAACATGTGAGAGCAGAGAGAAACTTACTCGCAGAAGTTGCTAGTCATTGCATTGTAAAACTATATTATTCATTTCAAGATGCTGAATACCTTTATCTTGTGATGGAATATCTACCAGGAGGTGATATGATGACTCTTTTGATGAGAGAGGATACACTCTCTGAGGATGTGGCTAAGTTTTACATTGCCCAGAGTGTACTTGCCATAGAGTCGATTCACAAGCATAACTATATTCACAGGTGTACTTTCACCTACATGCACTCAGCATAATTGTATTTAAAAAGAAAAAATGATCCTAATATTACTAAACTAAGATGAGTGAACACAAAAGTGACCATTTTAATTATGTATAAACAATCGATTAAATCATTCGTAAAGGATCCTAAATTCCCTCAAAAGCTTGAGTGCTGAAAATCCTGTAACCCCCCATGCTCTTCTTCCTCCTAACTGGCCTCCACAACAGTGCATAAGTAGATATGACACTAGCAGACATGGACAGAGTTTGTGGTGGGGGTTTTAGCAGGGATGTGTCTGCTGGGCTGGTGGGGGGAGGGTGTTTGGATGCTTCTTCATATTGTCTTTATTTTTTTATTGGAACTTACTAGATTTAGTTTGAGCATAAAAGGGTATGTTATATTGGACTTCAGTTTCTTGTCACTGATTTAAGGATTTAGGTACATTCATGTACCTAAAGGGTTGTTTTTGCATCCACTGATATTAATTAAACATTGTTGTCCTCCTAAACGCTATCTAAACGTATTAACATTGTTTGAGATAACATACACAAGCTGAGACTACTATCCAATTTTCTTTTTATGCGCCTCTTTTTAGCAATCTAAATGAAGTGCTTAGAATTTGAATTTAATTCTTTTTCCTCATTCTTTAGGGATATCAAACCTGATAACCTTCTACTGGACAGAAATGGTCACATGAAACTCTCGGATTTTGGTCTCTGTAAGCCCCTTGATTGTAGAACTCTATCTACTTTAAATGAAAATGAAGCCATGGGTGATGAAAACATTAGAGATCCAATGGACATTGATGGCAGCTTCCCTGATGCCGGCAATCGTAGCTGGAGAAGTCCTCGTGAACAGCTCCAACATTGGCAGATGAACAGAAGGAAGCTGGTATGACATACTCCGTATCACAGTTACATATTGCCGATCTGATTCAGTTATGAAATATTTGATATCTATAGTTACTCTTATGGGAAGTTGAGAAATGAATATTAATTTTGTGATGTTGTATTACTGTCCTAATATGCTTAAAAACTGAGGTGTTTCATCATATTGTTATCAAATACAAACCTCTTATGCTTTCTATCTTTTAGATGCTGTTACATGTTTGGTTTGTGTTTACGGTCTTATTTTATAACTTCAAACTGAATGTCGACTTTCAAATGAGAACAAAAGAAGTACTCCGTCCGTCCCACCAAACTTTGAGAACTTTCCTTATTTAGCTGATCCAGGAACATTGCAATTTCCATTTAAAGTACTACCTCCGTCCCGCTATGATTGTCCCATTTTACCTTATCGGTCCGTCCCACTAAGATTGTCCCATACCAAATTTGGTAAAGTTTGTGTGGCTCTAAATCATTTTTACTTTATTCTTACTTTATCAATTCAATATCAACCGCATAAACCAATTTTTATTAATTTGCGTGCCACTCCCTCTTGTGACTTGTCCCATTGTTAGCGGGACGGAGGGAGTAATAAATATGTGGTTAAAGTTATATCTCTCTCCTTTGCACAAATAACTACATAGTTTTTACTTTCTCATTCCACCATAGTAGTCATGGCGCATGGCGATTGCCATGGCTCAAAGGCATTTTTCATGGCGCATGGCGATGGCGCATATACGAATGGCGCATAAAGCGCATATGGTGCTATGGCGACGAACACTTTTTCATGGCGATAGCGCATATGGCGCGCGCCATATCTAGCCATTTACTACTATGCATTCCACATGCAAGTCAACTTTGGCCAAGTTTTATGGGATGAAGGGAGCACTTGATTTAAATAAGGAAAATATTTGACTGCAACTTGCTGCAAGGCTGTCTCTTATTGAAGTCATTTCACTATAATTTTTTATTTTTCACTTCCACATGTCCTTGCTTTATCATCACTATATTTTTTACTTTGGGTCATCCGGAAACAGCCTCTCTGTGCTTTATTACAGGGGTAAGACTGCGTAAATCCGACCCCCTTACCCTAACAATAGGTGGGAGTCTTTGCGGCACTGGGGTAATGCGTAAATCCGACCCCCTTACCCTAACAATAGGTGGGTGTCTTTGCGGCACTGGGGTAATGATAATGATGACTTCCACATGTCCTTGCAACAAATGAAATCATGCCAATCAGTGAATTTGAGGGGCAATTATCTTGAATAACTGAATGGCCTTTAAGCTGTTGTATTAACTTTGGTAGATTCCTAAAATTTGTACTCCCTCGGCCCAACTATATTTCTCCCATTTTTCCATCTTGGTGCATCCTGTAATGTACTTATGTTATTCTTATCTTATTTTATCTTTATCTTATCCACTTTATCTTTTCATTTTTCTTATCTATCTTCTCTTTCGGCTCTGATATCATGGATCGATTCCTGTTAGCCGACCCCAAAATATTTTGGGAATAAGGCTTGGGTGTTGTTGTTGTGGTGGTGCATCCTGAAATGTTTGTCCTATATTTGGTCGTATTTATTTGGATCAAAATCATCCATATACAAATTCAATATCAAGTTATCAACAACACAGTTACATTTCTCCATAAATTCTTGTGCCATTACTCCTTTGCCCCAAATTTAGTGGGATGGAAGGAGTGTTTTTGTTACTTTGTTCAGTAGTCCATTTATTATGTTCTACCTGGGACTAAACCTTTGTTGGCTTCAAACGTTGTACCTTTTCTTAATCCTTCCTTTTCTCTTTTCGTTTAAAAAGGCATTTTCAACTGTGGGTACACCAGATTATATTGCTCCAGAGGTTCTGCTGAAGAAAGGATATGGCATGGAATGTGACTGGTTAGTTATTATTTTGTTCCATATCTTACGTTGCCATCTTTAATTTATTGTTTTTCTTAGTTTTGACTACTTTTGCATTTAGTGAAAGTGGCTTCTTATTGAATTCTATTTATATTACCCCCATTGTTACTGCAAACCTCCTGGTTGCTCTCATAGCTCAGCTTTTTTTGGTTTGTGTTTTTAGGTGAAACTTTGCCCTGCCTCTTATATTTTTTAGTAAGTAGTTGTTGCTATGATTGGTGAAAGATAGGAACTCTTGGTTAGGGATCTGATAGAACTCAAGTAATGACAAAAGAAATATTTAATTTATCAATTGGTATTGTAGGATTTGTAGCTTAATGTAGAAAGTAGAAGGCTAGAAGCTTAATGTTTGTCTGGTGTTATAATCTGAAGTACAGTCTGCCTTGTTTATGTTATCCATTCAGAAAATACATTTTTTTCACTAGAAGTGAAATAATTTACATCTGATCTTGTTTCTTGTCTGTTTATATATTACCCAACATGCAGGTGGTCACTTGGTGCAATTATGTATGAAATGCTCATTGGTTACCCCCCATTTTACTCTGATGACCCCATAACTACTTGCAGGAAGGTAACTTGCTCGCTATAAACTACAAATGAAATACATGGAACATCTAATAATCACGAGTAAAAACTGAATTTAAAATGTGTTTTGACTATGATGCTGTTTGAAATGGCCTAACTTTTACATTTATGCTTTAAATCATGTTTACTACTGAATTTAAAATCGATCATCTTTGTAACATGTAGTGGATTCCATGTGTTAGTGATAGGGAGCAGGCCGGGGCAGCCGGTCAGCGGGCAGATGCGACCGAAGGAGAGCCGGGCCCCAGGCCATTGATAGTCTACCGGAGGCGGGGACGGGCCTGAGCCACCTTCGTGGGCTGGCTATTTCAGTAGCTTTAATTAATTAGGAGTTTCCTAATTATTATGTTTCCTATTTATTTCCTATTTATTATGTTTCCTATTTCAAGTTAGTTTCCTATTTATTATGTTTCCTATTTATTATGTTTCCTATTTCAAGTTAGTTTCCTAGTATGATTTAATTAGGAGTTCTACCTTAATTAGAACTAGTAGGCTATTTATACCCTTAATAGGGTTATTCGAACGATGGTGAATTATTAAATAAAGTTGGTGTTTTAGCTTTAAGCTTGGGCAACGGTTGCTTCCGTTGATTGTTATTTTCCTGCTCTCATCAATTGGTCCGACCTGCCGGATCCCGTCTCGCTGGAATGACGAGATCAACCAACGAATGTTTATCAGAATTGGAGGCTGAACAGGCCCTAATCAATCAAAAACTTGACACGCAAGGACAGAAACTTGACACACAAGGTCAAAAACTGGAAGAGCAGGCCGCCCAGCTTGCGGAAATCGCAGCCTCTCTTGCAGCAATCGCGAAGGCCATGGTCCCGCCGCAGAAATCTCCCATCGCGACCGTCGAGAGCGACTCCTCCGGCACGTCGCATCTGTCTTCTCCGATGATGGCGGACTGTGCACCGCAGCCACAACGCTACTTCCCTCGTTCGATGGCGAAGACCCAATTGGGTGGTTGGCGAGAGTGGAGCAGCAGTTCGAGCTCAACAGGACCCCACCAGATAGACAAGTTGCAGCGGCTAGGGTTTCTATGGAAGGGGCTGCCCTCTATTGGGTGACGTGGTTAAAGGCGCGCAAACCTGGCATATCTTGGGAGGAATTTAAGCAAGCCTTGGTGGCCAGATTTGATTCCCGATATCAGGGAAACAGGTTTGAACGGTTGTCCGGCGTCAAACAAATTGGGTCGGTGGAGGAATACAATACCTTGTTCGTTCAATTGGCTAGCCAAGTTCCGGGATTGACCGACGATCATTATTTGGGCTACTACATGAGTGGACTTGGGGAAGCAATCCGAAGCTCGTTGCGTTTACTACGGCCAGATAACCTGGAGACGGCCATGGAATTAGCCCGCGATGTGGAGCATAACCTGTCAATTCAGCAAGGAGGAAGAGGAGGGCCCAATTATACCTCCACGGGGTCACGTTACAGTAGTTACTCTCGGCCAAACTCGGGGACTTTCCCAGCTGCAAGTGGCAGCAGCACGCGCAATGCCAGTGGCGGCTTCCCGAAGGCAACTGGACAGGCGGTGGGGTCCACCTTGCATACGGCAGGGACCACTTCCGGACTGTCTGGACAATCCACTGCACGTTCCAGGTTCACCAGACTACCCCCAAGGGTGTTAGATGAGCTGCGGGCCAAGGGATTATGCTTTAAATGCCGAAAACCTTTCACACCAGGACATGATTGCCCTTTTAAACAATTAAGGGTGATGCTGGCGGAGGAAGATGAAGAACTGGACTTGCAGCAACACGATTATTGTGAAATAACGGGGCAGGAGGAACTTCCATCAGATGACAACCATCCTGAAGGCGATAGCAGTGATTTTCCGGTATATGCGATGGCTGGAATTTTCAGTCCTCAAACAATGAGGCTCCGTGGAGTAATCGGAGGGTACACGGTCACTGTATTAATTGATAGCGGTGCTAGTCATAACTTTGTTTCCTCGGCCTTAGTGTCTCTGCTGCACCTAAAACCGGACAAAACGGGAAGATTCAGAGTTCAATTGGGAGATGGACATAGGCAAGAATCAGAAGGGGTGTGCCGGCAACTTTCAATATCCTTACCAGAATGTGCAATCAAGACGGACTGTTTTGTTTTTCCATTGGCGGGAGTGGACGTCATATTAGGAGTTGCATGGTTAGCCACTTTGGGGGAGGTGCGGACCAATTAAAAAAATCTAACCATGCGGTTTAAGCTCGACGATAGACGGGTAGAGCTGAGGGGCGACCCATCCATGTGCAAAAATGCAGTCAGCCTACGCGCACTACTCAAGACTATCGATATAGAGTTTTGTGCCGTTGTCCTAGTCAAGGAGCCAGGCAAACTGTCTGGAGCAGCATCAGGAACTCTAGAGGACATCCTCGGCCAGCATACTGAGGTATTTGAAGAACCGCGAGGGCTGCCACCTCGCCGCACCACGGATCACCGCATCGAGCTAATTCCCGGGGCAAAGCCCGTTTCAGTTCGCCCGTACTGGTATGGTCATTTACAAAAAGATGAAATCGAGAAACTGGTAGACGAAATGCTCCAGGCCGGCATTATTCGACCTAGTTAAAGCCCATTCTCAAGCCCAGTTTTGTTGGTCAAGAAGAAAGACGGTATCTGGCGATTTTGTGTAGATTATAGGGAGCTTAACAAATCTACGGTACCAGATAAATACCCGATTCCAGTGTTACAGGAGATGTTAGATGAGCTGGCTGGAGCTGTGGTTTTCTCTAAAATAGACCTACGATCTGGGTACCATCAGATCAGGGTGGCTGGTCCGGACATCCATAAGACTGCTTTCCGTACTCACAGTGGGCATTATGAATTTTTGGTAATGCCATTCGGTCTGATAAACGCCCTTGCCACCTTCCAAGCCGCCATGAATGATTTGTTCCGACCCTACTTGCGGAAATTTGTGCTTTTGTTTTTTGATAACATCTTGGTATACAGCAAGTCATGGGCTGAGCACCGAGAACAATTGGACCTTGTATTAAGCCTCCTGGAGAAGAATCAGTTCAGAGCTAATAGGAAGAAGTGCACATTCGATCAACCGCAGGTGGAGTACTTGGGGCACATTATTTCTCAATCAGGGGTAGCCATGGATCCGACCAAAGTCAACGCAGTGGTGGATTGGCCACAACCGAGATCTGTCCGGGAGGTCCGGGGATTTTTGGGACTGACCGGATACTACAGGAGGTTCGCGAAGGAATATGGATTAATTGCACGGCCACTTACAAAACTTTTGAAAAAAGAGGCATTAGCTCAGTTCCAGTGGTCTGCAGAGGCCGAGGAGGCTTTCCGTCAACTCCAGAAGGCATTAACCGAAGCACCTGTATTCGCCATGCCCCAGTTTGACCGCCAATTTGTGGTGGAATGCGATGCGTCTGGAACCGGGATTGGAGCGGTGCTTATGCAAGAGAGACGACCGATTGCTTACTTTAGCAAATCATTGGCAGACAGGACACTGTCCAGATCAGCCTACGAGCGGGAGATGATGGGATTAGCATTAGCCGTGCAACATTGGCGGCCGTATCTCATCGGACAAAAATTTGTGATGCGCACCGACCATCGGAGTCTCAAACATCTTCTCACTCAGCGCATAGCGACTCCCTCTCAGCAGGTTTGGGTGGCAAAATTATTGGGGTATGACTTTGAGATTGAATATAAGACAGGGAGTTCTAACGCAGCAGCAGACGCCCTGTCTCGGAGAGGGAAGGAGTTGGAACTAGCTGCAGTTAGCATGCCAGAGTGGCTGGGTCTGGCCGACATAGAAGAGGAGCAAAAGAGAAATAAAATTTTGCAAGAAATCATTCATGCACTGGCAGTTGACCCGACAAAGGTACCGGGTTATGAAGTAATTGGGAGGCGGCTGTTTTTCAAGGGCCGATTGGTCCTGCCTTCGGATTCTAGTTGGATTCCCCGGCTGATGAAAGAATTCCATGACACACCTGCTGGAGGTCACGCTGGTCACGCTGGTGCACTCCGGACATACAGAAGACTGGCGATGAACGTATTTTGGAGGGGAATGTTCCGGCAGGTACGAGCCTATGTTGCACAGTGTTTGGTATGTCAAAAAGCCAAATATGAGGCGATGTCACCGGTTGGGCTACTGCAACCCTTACCTATTCCCAACTTGATTTGGGAAGATATTTCCATGGATTTCATCACTTGTTTGCCCAAGTCGAAGGGATATACATCTATTTTGGTGGTGGTGGACCGATTGTCCAAGTACGGGCATTTTATTGCCCTAAAGTCTCCAATCACAGCGCGCTCAGTGGCTGAAGTTTTTTCCAGAGAGATAGTCAGGTTGCACGGCATTCCACGCTCGATTGTTAGCGACCGGGACTCTCTGTTTATTAGTGCATTCTGGAAAGAGTTGTTTCTCGTGTCGGGAACACAGTTAAAATTCAGCTCAGCCTATCACCCGGAGACAGATGTACAGACAGAGGTGCTGAACTGTGTGTTGGAAACATATTTGCGTTGTTTCACTTGTGAGCAGCCGCGGCAGTGGATACGTTGGCTGAGCTGGGCTGAATATTGGTATAATACCTCGTTCCAGACAGCAGCAAAAATTTCACCATTCGAGGTGGTATATGGCCGGCCACCACCTACTATTCGGCGGTTCCTTCCAGGAGAAAACAAGGTGGCAGCTGTGGCAGAGATATTGGGCAGCAGGGATGTCATGTTAAAACGGCTAAAAGAGACTCTACAGAAAGCACAACAGAGCATGGTGACCCAAGCTAATAAACACCGCCGCAACGTGGACTTTCAGGTTGGGGATAAGGTGTTTTTGAAGGTTAGGCCTCACCGGCAGACTACTATATTTCGCCAGCCTTACAACAAGTTGTCTGCCAAATTCTATGGGCCATTTTTAATCGCAGCACGAGTTGGGGCAACCGCCTACCGGCTAGCATTGCCATCTAACAGCCGTATCCATCCGGTTTTTCACGTGTCTCAGCTGCGGAAGGTAGTCGGTGATCATCAGATAGAGAGGGAGCTGCCAGAAAGCTTGGAATTGCCAGTCACTCCAGTTTTCGAGCCTGAAGAGATATTAGCCACCCGAAAGCAAAATGATACAGAAGAAGAGCTATTAGTCAAATGGGCTGGGCAGCCTAGTGACGAGGCAACATGGATGAATAGAGAAAGTTTCTTGGGCCAATTTCCTGATTTCAACCTTGAGGACAAGGTTCTTTCAAGGGAGGATGAAGTTGATAGGGAGCAGGCCGGGGCAGCCGGTCAGCGGGCAGATGCGACCGAAGGAGAGCCGGGCCCCAGGCCCTTGATAGTCTACCGGAGGCGGGGACGGGCCTGAGCCCACCTTCGTGGGCTGGCTATTTCAGTACCTTTAATTAATTAGGAGTTTCCTAATTATTATGTTTCCTATTTATTTCCTATTTATTATGTTTCCTATTTCAAGTTAGTTTCCTATTTATTATGTTTCCTATTTCAAGTTAGTTTCCTAGTATGATTTAATTAGGAGTTCTACCTTAATTAGAACTAGTAGGCTATTTATACCCTTATTAGGGTTATTCGAACGATGGTGAATTATTAAATAAAGTTGGTGTTTTAGCTTTAAGCTTGGGCAACGGTTGCTTCCGTTGATTGTTATTTTCCTGCTCTCATCAGTTAGCCTCAGGCATGCTGAATGATGTGTCAGCTGTTACCAAAGTAGTGTGTTAATGTCTGCATCTTAAATTGCGTGTGTCATATGCTAGCACAGATAGTACATTGGAGAAATCACCTCAAATTTCCTGAAGATGCTAAACTATCACCTGAAGCAAAGGATCTGATATGCAGATTGGTATGTGACGTTGATCACAGACTTGGAACTGGCGGTGCCAGCCAAATTAAGGTACTATTTTTTGTGAAGTTATTTTCCACCATGTTTTCAGTCCCTTCACCGATCATTACATGTAACCTGTATCAGGCTCATCCTTGGTTCAAGGATATCATGTGGGATATACTGTATGAAATGGATGCAGCCTTCAAACCAGAAATCAATGGGGAACTGGACACTCAAAATTTTATCAAGTTTGATGAAGTATTTACACGAAACTCATGATCTTGGCTTCTCTTTGATCTTTTTGAAAAGCTACTTGTGTGTCTTATCTTAGAGAAACATAAGGTATGTCTGGGGTTTGGTTTTGTTAGGCAGGAGCATCCGCTCGTTTAGTTAACAAATATGGAGGAGGTGTTATGTTGTCCCTTCCCTTCATTATCTATCCCTCCAATTTGGGGTTTTCTAGAACGGAGTGAAATTTCTTTTGATCCCCATCCCCTCCAGCTAAACCAAACAAGGTAGCATTGAAATACTCTCTCACTGCAAACCAAACACACCCTTAGAGCCTGTTTGGTTTAAACATTAAAACTTTACATGCAAAGTTATTGCATGTAAAGTTTAGGGCCGTAAAATAATTTTTATGTAAAATAGAAATACATCGTTTGGTCATGTGTGTAATCTATTTTTAAATCCACCGTTCTGACTTCATGACCGTGTAACAACAGTTAGCATTTATATTCGTTCTAACAAGAACTGAACGGGCAACCTTCAAATTAGCGCTAGACGTCTATATCACCTAGGCTGGGCTGATGCAGAGTTAGTTGGAGTATTGGTGGGATCAACTCGGTTGGAAAACTTAGGCGGTCAAGGGGAGGGCTAACACCTATGTGGGGTCTAGGAGTGTGTGTGTGTGGGATTTTAGATCAAAGTGCATTCTGATCAATTGGCCCCCCACTCGCTCAAAACTGATTTTCATTATGTGAGGTTTACCTAGGGGTGGTTCAGCACGATCATTTTCATTTTCATTTACCCCAGTGCCACAAAGGCTCCCACCTGCGGTGGGGTAAGGGGGGGTCGGATGTACGCAGTCTTACCCCTGTACTAAAAGCACAGAGAGACTGTTTCCGGATGACCCATAGTGAAAATCCCGTCCAAAATTGCATGGACTGACTGTTGCTTCATAACAAAGAAGCGCAGACAGTTTAGTGAGCCATTTTGCTTTATTCCATCATAATCTCAAGCCAAAAAATAATGAATCTTTGGCTCCATTCAGCACGATATACTGATTTTTTTATTCCATACTAAATACCATACCAAATTTGCGGTATATGGGAAACCATATAGTTAACGTACTGAATTTCAGTATACCGCAATATTAGTGACACAAAAATCATACGGTTTCATACTTTCATACCGGAATTTGCATATTACCAAAACATATTGCACAGTTTGGTATCTTATGACGCCCCATAAAAAATTGATATACCGAATCTCAAATAACCTGTGTATAAACTAGTACCTTTCCACACAAATAGCATGTGTATAAACTAAGCTACTAAATATAGCATTTCCAAACCATAATATTTTAGTGTTAAACAAGAAATAATAAAATCATGTCTGAACCGCTAAACACAAAACATCAAAACAAAAGATATTGTTGATCGCCCTTACTCGGTCAACGAACTCATACTAATGCTAGGAGCCTAGGACTTGTCGCAAGTTCCTCACAGTTATAACAAATGCAGTTGCTCGAATCCCGATTAGTTTAATCTGCTAACTCATGACACAAATTGCAATCAAATTTAGTAGTATATTGCATTCTTAATTCTGAAAAAAATGTGAAAAAAAAGAATAAACAATCAAATATAGTAGCAACTCAATTTTGTAATCATGCGACAAGATCTTTCATACTAGTTTAATAGTTTATGTTAGAAAAAGTAGTTCAAGATCTTAGATACTAGTTTAATATTTTATGTTTTATTGGTGAGACAAATATTCCAACACTGCGCACAACGACGAATATGAAGTATAGATGTCTGAGGTGTACCTCACACATTTACACTAGATTCGAACCCAGTAGAGAACCAATCTGAGATATTCAACTTTGGTTCCTGCATATTACTCTGCTTTCTATGTTAAATATCAGATTTCCACGACTGGCTTTTGCACTCACAAGTTGGTGCTTCTTTTTGTGTGATTAAACAATTTATTTAAACTGTCTGCAATATTGTGTTGGATGGGAACTTGACTAAATATTTTTATTTTGTACGTGTCAAGTTTCTTATTATTGGAAAGTTGCTCTAGAAATGCACATTATGCATTTTGCTTCCATTTTACCATGTCTCTTTTTTGTTAGCATTGTTGTCTATATTCGTAGTATCATGCTTTACTTGACTAGTGTTTTAAGTCTTAACTCTAGTACTAAATTTATGGATCTGTCACCAGTTGGATCCTCCGACGCCTGCAAGAACTGGCTCTGGTCCTTCACGCAAGGTTTGTAACTTTGGTGTGAAGTCTGCATGTTTCATCTACTCTATTACGTGTATATTGTAATGTAAATACTTTGTGGTACTGCTTGAGTATCATTGTTTGAGTGGGGGACTGACTGGTGGTGAGCTTAAAAGTAAGAGAGAATATAACAACATGTTGCATTTAGAGCAGATCATTAGGTAGACATTATTCCACAGGACAGTGAGAAAAAAACTCTTAATCTAATTCTTAGCTCTATCAGAGAGGAGCTTCTTGAAATTTGTGCATTGTCATTGATTTGATTTTAAAACGATATAGGTAAATTTTTCACGTGCTAAATGATGTTGTATGATTTCCTTAGGAAGAGAGAAAAACTAACACTTTATCTTGCTCTCAGATGTTATTGACTCCCAAAGATTTAAATTTTGTGGGCTATACATACAAAAACTTCGATGCTGTGAAGGCACTACGCAACTCTCCGGGTGTGTGACACCCCCTATCCAGCCTTTTTGTAGCTGTTCTTACACTTTTCACATTTATGATGATTCTTCATATGTCCTCACACTACAGTGCATGAGTTTGGTCATTATTAGTATCATGGGAAATTCTATATTGTAACCCTCAATTTAATTTTTTTAATATGTTAGACGAAGAAATATACGTAGTAATTCATATGATAGGCCAAAGCATACCACATGTAGAATTTAACTAGATTTTAAGCGTACCAAATAAATTATAATTTTTTTCGTCTAGCAAATAAAAAACTTTAAATTTACCTAGACTTTAAGAGTACCATATGGTTTTTAATTTTTATCATCTGCCAAACAAAACTTCTAAATTGAGGATTACCATATAGAATTTCTCTGTTATTATTTTTCAGAATGTTGCAACACAAGCTTCTTTCACCACACATGAGATACACATGTTGACATCAATATTACTAACACAAAAGTTCTGGACAAAATAGGACTAGTTTTAATTTTTTTTCAAAAATGTGACTTAAATGACTTTTATATACCCTACCCTCATCCAGTGAAACCGGCGGCCTCGTCTAGTGACCATTTTCTAAAAAGTGACCAGCTGCCCGATAGTGACCCGTCAGTGCCCCTCACCCACCAGTGACTTGCCGGTCCCGCCATTGACCCGTTGTGCCTGCCAGTGACCCGTTACCCACCAATGACCACCGTCCAGTGACCACTGTCGCCCCGTCCAGTGACCACTGCCGATCTGCCGCCCTGTCCAGTGACCACTGCCGATCTGCCGCTCCACCCTGTCCTTCACTCCCTAACCCCCCACCCCTTCTGCCCTACCCCATCGCCCAAACCTCCCAAGCCACCGTCCCCATCCCTCCCCCAGCCTGCCCCCAACTACAGCCCCCGTTTCCACACTAGCTTCTACCACTGCCCCTGGACCTCTAACCTAGCCGCGCCTCCAACCACGAACCCCTAAGTCCCTAACCCTGTCCCCTTCCCAGACCCATTACCACCGGCAGCTAAAATTTCAGATCGATCTACAGATTGCGGATAGAAAAAAGGAGAAGATGAGGTGGTGGGGGTTTGCGGCAGTCCGAGCTCCTCATTACTGGATCAACCTAGCTCATCACCGTCTTCAATGGCGACGACCCATCTGTTTGACAAAGAAGGAGAAAGGACGGGAGCGACAGATTGTAGACAGAAGAAAGAAGAAGATGAAAGGGGAGTGGCGGAGGCGGAAACAGCAGCTGCATAACACACATCAGCGTAGGTCTGATGAGTTGGTGTCGGGAGATTTGAGCAGCAAGGGTTATTGATAAAGTTAACAATAACATGACAACATCCAAGCCTTAGCCCCAAAAGCTTTTAGGGTCGGCTAACATGATAGCCGAGCCAAAAGGAAAAGAAAGATAAAAAGATAAAGTATGATAAAAAAGATAAGATAAAATAGAGATAACATATACTCCATCCGTCCCATTAGAAGGTTCCCACTTTCCTTTTTTGGACGCCCCATATAAAGGTTTCCATTTCCATTTTAGGAAACAATTAACAATGTTAAGTGACAAATTAATCATTAAATATTAAAAATAATACATTTATAACATCACAATTATCAATACTAACTACATTATAATATATACCTATTAAAATTATTTCTTAAAATATATTCGAAGTACTTTATTTCTCCCGTGTGAACCTTCCAACGGGACGGAGGTAGTACATAAAATGATAAGATAAATTTAATAAATAGAATATATGTATATATAAAATAAAAGGATAAAAGAATAAAAATATAAGAAAGATAAAGAAGATAAAGGTAAAAAAGATGATAAGAGATCAATCCGCCACATGAATATCTGCCCTCCAATTCAAGAAGAAGCATATCACTCCCGAGTCCCGACTCCTTTAATCCATGTATGTTTGGGTCTTCCTCTCCCCTCCTCCCTGCCTCTTTTCTACACCTCTCAACTTTTCTAAGAGGTGCATCACCTAGTCTTCTATGCACATGGCTAACCCACCGCAATCGAGACTCTCACATCTTAACCTCAATAGGTGCTACTACCATCTTTTGTCTGATCTCAAGCAGTCTTTTCTAATATGTCAACACATCCAACGCAACATGCGCATGTCTGCCACACTCATTTTTTGAATGTGACATTGTTTCACTATCCAACACTCTACACCATACAATAATGCAAGCCTAATTGCTGTGCGATAAAATTTATCCTTCAGTCTAGTCGGCATACCTCGATCACATAGAAATTCTGACCCACTCTTCTGTTTCATTCACCTTGTTATGATTCTATGGGATATATTTCCATCTAGTCAATCGTCGTTTTGAACTATTGAACCAAAGTAACGGAACTCAATATTAATGACATTCCACTCAATTTATTACTACCTCCGTCCCATTTTATGTGTCTCATTTGACTTTGACACAATTATTAATAAAGTGGTTGAAAAGGTAAAAGTTGTGGTTGAGATTTGAGTATAAAGTGAAATGTTGTGGACCACATATTTCTTTCCAAAAGGGAAATGTGACACTCATTTTGGAACAATCCAAAAAGGAAAGTAAGACAGGTAAAATGAGACGGAGGGAGTAATATTTAGTCTCCTTTTTGTCCAACTTAAGACCTGGTCCTATTTTTGTCAATTCAAAAGTGTGGTATAAATCTTGTCATTATTCCTAAAAATAATGACAAAAATGAATAATAATTAAAAAATTAGATGTTTCTGCATTACTTCTATAGTTGATTTATTTACATTGTAGATCTTTTGACGAGTACATCACCTAAAAGGCCCTCGATTGATTCCATTTTTTGTGAGTAATCCATTTCAAGGGCTGTTACTATGCTACTCAGGCAGGTAGTGCCCCCGGGGTCTGGGTCTCATTCTCATACTGTCAGACAACATGCTGTGTGTGAGAGGGAGAGTGGATCTAATAGTCCCTAGGTCCGTGTAGACACTGCCTGTCTGGGTAGCGTGAACTAAGCCATTTAAAGAAAGAGATCATATTCTTGAAAGAAGGCTGGCCATACTTGGTTACACAACTACAAGGTCATTCACAGAGGTGGCAATGAGTCTATCACGTCTATCACGTCTATCATAGTTGGGACTATACATGGATACAAACTGATCTAAAATCGTTGGACCTTAAATGGAAAATTTTCATATTTCAAAATGTTTGAAGTTGCATACCCTCAACGACTAATCCTTCTATATCCAGGTGGTTCAAAAGAGGATCCAGGAACAAACAAATCAGTAGCAGCGGAAACAGATGTACACATGTTCACCTCCACAGGTGACACAATGTTGCCATAAACAAACAGTGTGTTCTTCAAAACATATAAATGGGACATAGCACATATCTGCGTATTTGATCAGGTTTGCTTGCCCCTTGTCTGTTTTAGATGGTGGTCCTGTGTTTACCGAACCGTCCCCCTGTGTGACTTGTACAGTGTGCTTGAAAAACTATGTAATAGTCGGATTTAAGGTTTAAGTGGTAGTTGTGCAATAGAAACATAGAATAGGTACATGTCATTTGTGTCCAGGCTGCCCAGGCTTGCTATTATTCAACTTTGCTTTCTCTCGTGGCAGTTTATGGTCGGACCCTTTGATAAACCAGTAAAATATTCACTTTCCTCATTTCTGCTATGCTGGCAGCTAGCTAGAGGATCTGTTCTTATGTGATAGCAAATCTCTAGTATCTGTTGAAAGGCTTTAGTGATTGCAAGCTTCTTGGTGTTCACATGTTTTTTTTGTGCGAAATTGGTAAAGCATATTCATTTGGTCAAGTTATGAACTGTGTTCTCCATTGGTCAATTTTATTGGTCAAATTAAGTTTTTAACCTAAGTGTATACAATTATACGATTATTCTTTAATTGCATTTTGTATTAACAGATGCTAACCTAAGTGTATACAATTATACGATTATTCTTTAATTGCATTTTGTATTAACAGATGCTAAAGCTTTCGTTATTTTTTGAAATTTCATTTTATGTTAATAGATTCCAACAGCAATCTTTAAAAAAATTAATGTGATTTTCACCCTTCCGGATGAAAAGTAGATTGTTCATGGACGTATATTCAGTAACTCCTTTTTTGTAATGCAAAACACAAAAAATGCATTACTAAGCTCTCGTTGTCATAATTGCCAAATAATAATAATAATTCTCGTTGTCATTAATCTCTAAGCAACTTTTCCAGTTTTCCTAGGGGTGAGCAAATAACCGATTTAACCGATCTGACCGAAAACTGATGTCGAACCGATTGAAAAAATTGGTTTTCGGTCGGTTTTTGGTTATAATAAATTAAAAAGAACCGGTTATTCGGTTATTCGGTTTTTATTCGGTTATATTTATCGGTTATTGGTTGGTCACTGATAATCGTCCAAAATAATTTCTTCATTGCATGATTGCATCTTAAGTTGATTACTAGTCCAAATAAGTTTAATACCCCCTTCATAACCTCCATAGCATCTCCCAACGTTGCTAGCCCGTCCTTTACACATAAATTTAAAATATGACATGCACAACGCTGATGAAAAAACTACCCATCAAAGAAGATGAACCACACAATTCACGCAATCTAAGAATAGCATCAGTATTATACTATTATTAGTAGCATTATCAAAATCAATAGCAAATACCTTTTTAATCAAATTATACTCAATTAAAATACGCTCAATGAGAATATAAATATTATCACTGGTGTGTCGATCATTAAATTCACGAAAAGCAAGAACACGTTTATGCATACATCAATCATCATCAATATAATGTGCAGTCAAATCCAAATAATATAAATGATGATGAGTATCTTCCCATATATCACTACATATACTAACACATCCATCAAAGTTTGCGAAAAACGTTTGTAATTTTTGCTTTTCCAAAACATATCGTCTTATAACTTCTTTTTTAATTGTTTTGCGACTATAGTTTCGAAATTGAGGATTTAAAGAACCTTGAGCATATTCTTTTAAAGCAAGATTTTTAGAAAAAATAAAAGGCAAATTTTCTTCAACAATTAAATGAGACATACCAGTCAAATGTCTTTGATCATCAAAGGAAAAATTACCAAAGGGTTGGCCAGTTGCAAACTTGCAAACCTTGAAATTTGTGTTTGCTTTCCCTTGTCTTTGTCCGATTTCGCATATTCCGCCGGGTGCTTGGCCTTAAGATGCCTCGTGGCGCTCTCGTACCCTCCAAAAATTCCCAAGTTATACTTTTTGTTGTAATGCTTGCAAGTGGCGTACCATATCTCGGTTTCAAGGTCTTTAACTTTTTTAAAATTTGCCTTAAAGACAGATTCAGATTTCTCATCGGCTTGGGAAGAAGTAGCCACTTCCGCTTGCTCTTCCTCATCGTCCGGTGTGCCATGAACCTCGTCCTCTCCTCCGCATCATCATACTCGAGCTCTTCTTCGTCAATGGTTTGCGGGATGTCTTGTTGATGAAAAAACCTCCTTGAATGTTGCAATAGTTGTTCTAGTTGCTCATCGGACATCACATCTCCATATCTTTGGTTGTAATCCACATCAAAATCATCTCGGGTTTGAGATGAAGACCCGGACCCTCCCTTACCTTTGTGTGACCTTGGGTGATTCCTCGCAATCTCCTTTGTTCGGTTGCGGCGGAGGTTACCCATATCTACAGAAGCTCTAGCATGTTCCATCTTAAAAATATAACAAATATTAAATTCGAAGTACAATTCAACTAGTGAATTTGAAATACAAATCTACCAATTCGAAATACAATTAAATTTGAACTATGCAACTACAATGTAATAAACTTAACTATTAATAGGAGAATAATAAATGTAACAATTAACTAGTTTTATAGGAGAATAAGAAATGTAACAATTAACTTGTTTTATAGGAGAATAATAAATGTAACAATTAACTACTATGATATGAGATTAATAAATGTAACAATTAACTAGTTTTATAGGAGAATAATAAAGTTTAACTAGTTTTATAGGAGAATAATAAATGTAACAATTAACTACTATGATTCGAACTATTTGTTTTAAAATGTAACAACTTTATTTAACAAGTTTAACAATTAACTAGTTTTGTAGGAGAATAAGAAATGTAACAATTAACTAGTTTAACAATTAAACAATTAATTTCGAATTAACTAGTTTAACAATTAAACAAACAATTATTGTCTAACAATTTTTAATGTAACTATTTCCAATAAACTAACAACTAACAATTAACCACTTTTATAGCAATGAACTAATACTAAAATGATAAGTGAAACCATTAACTAGTTTTATATTAATAAAGAATGTATGAGTGTGTAAACTAAATTAATGGGAGTGTGAGAGTGTATAAACAATTGGATAAGTAGATAATAAGTGTATAAGTAGATATACTTAATATATATTTATAAGTAGATAATAAGTAGATTAACTCGTAATATATGCTTTTATGTTTATAGTATATATAATATAAGTATATTACTATAAAATGAGTAATACACTTATATAATACTTTAATATATATAAGTATATATTAAGTATATGTAATATGTAAATATAAGTAAATAAATTAGAGATAATTATATATGTAATATGTAATATGTAAATATAAGTAAATAAATATAAGTAACAATAATATAATAATTAGATATTAATATAAGTAGATAATAACTAATAAGTAGATAATAACTAATAAGTAGATAATAAATTTTATAAATATAATATATGTAGTTATAAATTTGAGAAGATGAAGATGGAGAGGATTAGTAGAGAATAGAGATTAGAGAGTAGGAATATTTGGAGAAGATGTGTAGTAAATTGTATAGAAAAAATGGAGTATTTATAGATTTTTTGTACCCCCACCCTCCCGGGACCCCCTGGTAGGCTCCCAACGGCTATAGAGCCATTTGGGTTGAATCCCAACGGGTATAAGGCATGTTTGGCTGGCCAAAAGTTTTTTTTTAAATATAGCCGTTAGGCCCGGACCAGGCCCGAATCGACCGGGCCTTCATTTTTGTGAACCGTGCCCGAACCGCCCCACCCCCCGGGCCGGGTCAAAGCCCGCACCGCCTATACGTTACCCGGGCCGGGCCGGTTTGGTCCATCCCTACCCTCAACCCTTGACCTCGTTAGATCAGTTTGCTGGTTTGAGGTTAAATACTTAAATGTTTAAGAATTTAATATATAGCTTAATTATTTGCTAACGTGTCATTTTTTATTTTGTCTACTGATTGAAAAAGTTATACGGAGTATGTGGGTGATGCATCATGCATGCATATGGAGTGTGCTTTGTACTATTATTTACATTTAAATAAGTTAAATCCATTTTGGTATCTATTATTTTATTTATTAATGTGTTGTCTACAACTTTCACAATTTTGAAAATTATATGCTTTTGAAATATGGTAGGTTATGGTCGGTTATTTGATTACCGACCGAAACTGAATGACATTTTTTGGTCGGTTTTTGTAATGCTGTCGATCGTTTCTCGGTCGGTTATTAGAGTAAAAAATATTGGTTATCGATCGATTATTTGACGCATTTTGATGCAGTGGATTTCCATCAACATATTGCAACTTGTCGTTATTTATCGCTGCTCCATTCGTATATTATTCTAATCTTTTGCACAAATACTTTGAACCAGACGTTGACATTATTATTTTTGCTTAACTTGCTCCCAAATTAAGACACTCGTAATATTTATTATTTGAGAAAATTACCAATATGGGAGTAGAACATAGAACCTATTCCAAAAAAGGAGTCTTACTTGGTCAACCACGTTTGACACGGAAATTATATGCAAGTGACCATAATGCCCTTAATGAAGCTAAAGGTATTATCGTTTTGAAATCACGCGTGCTGCGGACGTGCTGAGCAGGTGGAAGTAACCGGCTACACAGGTAAAGGAAGATTTTAAAAAAACAAAAACAGGAAGCCGGCAAAACTTCTCCCATTCGCGTAAAATAACAACTGCCTCCATTAAAGCGCGAACCTGGAGAACACAACCAACATCGCACAACACTAGAGAGAAACTGACAACACTTGGCCATAGAGAGGACGAAGTGCCGATTACAGAGTAAAACTTGGCCAGAAGGACGATATTTGCCTGAAGAAGGGCAAACTTCGCGATAAGAACAACAGATATCATGTCTGATTTGGATTTTCAATCACATGGCCAAAAAGTCAGAATCAACAACGAAGTGGTATGTTGTACTCACTATAGAAGAAATATAAGTGTTAAAGTGATGTTAATCATGTCCATTTATGAATTTTGTAATGCTTAAATAATCATTGACAATAGAAAGTGTAAATGTAATGAAAGTTGTGTGCATGTCGTGCTATGTATTGTGTAGGTGTTGTAAAGTTGTCTGTAATGTTTATATTCTATGTGTAATAAGTGTATTAATGTCACTGATTTGAGAGAGTTATTATCCATTCATATTGTAATACTTAAATCATGTTTTATAGTATTTAAATTAGGGCAAAAGTTGCCAATGTTAATGTTGGCAAACTATGAATAATAATATATTCTATGAGTATGGGTGAATTATGAAAAATATGGCAAATATTATGCGTACAAGGTATGTCATGACAGAGTCAATGTGTTGAAGAAGAAGAATTGTGTCAAAGTACCTGTAGTATGGAAAAAATTGAAAAATGTTAGGTGTACAAGGTGTGTCATTAGAGACTCAATGACTTGAAGAACAAGAAGTTTGTCAAATTACATGTACTGTGGAAAAAATTGACAATTATTATGGTTGAAAGATGCGTCATCACAAAGTCAGTGACTTGAAGAAGAATAGTTGTGTCAAAGTACCTGTAGTTTGAAATCATTGCCAAATATAGAATTGAAAGATGTGTCGTGACAGAGTCAATATGGTGAATAAGAAGTATTATGGCAAAGTAATTGTAATGTGGCAAAAACTGAC